TCGTCTAGGAGACAAGGTCTTCACTGGGGATCTGTCTCTGGGGCTCATCTAGTTGTACTGGTCTCCGCTGACATTCAGGGCTGTCGAGGTCATCTCTAGGTCCTGATCCACCATCTGATCTGGATACAGACTGGATCTGGTGGCTACGGTGACCTCGGCATAATTATTAATTAATAATATTATTATTAATAATATTAAATATTAAATATTAGCGTAGATGCCATTCTTCTAACGATGTAGCAAGTACATCAGGTGTTATGGGAAGTGTTCCCGGTTCCGGTTGTCCTAATTAATGCAACCTAAAAATCCTTTAACGAATTTGAATATTAGAAATGTGTTAGTGTGTTATGTGTAAGCCAGGTTAAAGAGATGGGTCTTTAATCTAGATTTAAACTACATTGTTTATTAAGCATGCAGAACAAGCACCCAATAAAGCATTACAATAATCTAACCTTGAGGTCATGAATGCATGAATTAACGTTTCTGCATTTGACATTGAGAGCATAGGTCGTAAAGTAAGTGCACCTTTAATGCAGAAGTTCTAAAGAACGCTTTGTGCATATTGTCCATTGCTGGTGAAGTGACTCTCAGAGCAGATCTAAAGATGAAGTTCATGTGTTTATATCCTTATATAGTGAGACGGCAGAAGCGGGAAACACCATGAGTGCCACGTGTGCTTCATTATGTATGTAGAAGATGAACCGTGACATTCATTCACTCAGAGATGCGCAGAACATGCACACTTTAATATACAGACATACATATTTTAATATACAGATGTGCTTTAATATACAGACAATAGTCCATATAGAGATTTCATTAAGTGTACAGTGCTAATTTTGATTTATTCATTCAAGATTTGCCAAATTCCGTGACATTCTGCACTATACAGTTAATTCAATTTTAATGACTGGATTTCGCGATTTCCCTCCCTTTTCCACATCGCAGAAATCACACAGACTTAAAAAATATTTCCCCACTTTGAGAACTCCTGAGTGACTTACAAATGAGGACAATAGAAGCAATTAAAACCAACAAGAGCAAAAATATGTAAGTGCTGTGACAAGTCTCGGTTAGTCTAACGCAGTACACGTTGCAAGTTTTTTTAAATAATAAAAAAAAGAAAACAAGTAGATAGAATGGAAAAAAACTATAGAGAACGCTAGTGTTAGAGGGTCAATTTTTTTAAATAAAAAGAAAAGTTGAAAGAATAGAAAGAGAATAGAAAACGCTAGTGTCAGAGGGTCATTTTTTATGATAAATAAAAAGAAAACGAGTAGATAGAATAGAAAAAAGAATAAAAAATGTAAGTGGTATTTTTTTGTCAATTTTTTTTCTTTAAAAAAGTGTTACAGGGTCAAGTTTTTTTTTTATATATTATGTATGTACCATATTATGTATGGTAGTTGGTGAGAGACCTAGATTCTTTGTGATTTTGCATTGAGAAATGTGTTTTTTTATTTATTTGACACTTATTTCATGAAATTTGGCACAAAGTGGTTTTGCTGGCAAAGACTGAGATGCTTCTTTTATACCCAAACATGATCCCCTCACCTATTACCAATTCACCTGCTGACTGTTTTAAAACATTTTAACTTGGATATTCTATAACCTTTTCACTTTTATTTTGCCTCTTTTCCAACTTTTTTGGAGTGTGTTGCAGTTATCAACATCAAAATTTGTTTATATTTACAAAATACATTTAAGCTGGTCAGTGAAAACATTGGACATCTTTGTACTTTTGTCAATTAAATAAAAGTTAAAGGGAATTGACAAATCACAGAATCTTGATTTCATTGCGTTTTACAAAATGTCCCAACTTTTTTGGAATTGGTGTTTATTGTACATTCTGATGTTGTGTATTTGTGAATGGAGTGTGTGTGAATTTCTGCCTGAATTTGTGTACTGCCATGTGTGGGTGTAGATCTCTTGCATGAATTTGTGAATTGCATTGTGCAAATTTGTGGGAGGTTTGTTTTTGTGTTTACTCCATATTTGTGCACAAATTGTTGTTGTATTAAAAATGGTTAACAGTTTATTTCCAAAACCCTTGTGTAGATAATGAATGCTGGAGCAGGTTCTGTTAAGAACTTAAGCAGCAGTCAAGAGGGGAATGATGAGAAGAGGAGAAAGTCTGCTCAAGTATGTCTCTGTCAATTTCTTTAAAAAATTGTGTCCTGTAAGTCCATCACGTGGACTGGGCTGTCTTAATGACACAAGCTGGCATGGTAATCTCCTGCATGGTGAGGCCCTGTGTTTTTGACATTATGCAGGTGGCTGGCAGTGAGGAGGACGAGGAGGAGGAGAAGGAGAAGGATGATTGTGGTGACATGGAGGTTTCTGATCAGGGACATATGAAAGATGAAGTATGTACTCTTACAGTGTCGATGAGGTGCAGAGGCCTTGTGGTGGGATGTTTTACATGCAAAAGAGATGCTTGTAGCAGTGAAAAAGAGCAGGATAAAAACTTTAGTCAGAATATTATTTATATACACTTAATGGCCACTTTATTAGGTACATCTGTTCAACTGATCAATAACTGAAATATCTAATCAGCCAGTCACATGACAGCAACTCATTGCATTTAGGCATGTAGACATGGTCAAGATGATCTGCTGATGTTCAAATCAGAATGGGGAATAATGGTGATTTAAGTGACTTTAACATGGCATGGTTGTTGGTGCCTGACTGATTATTCAGAAACTGCTGTTCAACTGGGATTCACATGCAACCATCTCTAGGTTTATAGAGAATGATCCGAAAAAGAGAAATTATCATGTGAGCAGCAGTTCTGGGAGAAAATCAGAATTTGGCACAAATAGCATTAAAGCATGTATCCATCCTTGTATCAATGGTTCAGGCTGGTGGTGGTTTAATAGTGTGGGGAATATTGCTACAGCCTACCTGTGTACTTTTGCTGACAACGTCCATCCCTTTATGACCACAGTCTACCCATATTGTTATGGTTACTTCCAGCAGGATAATGCACCATGTCATAAAGCTTAAATCATATCAAACTGGTTTCTTGAGCATGACAATGGGTTCACTGTACTCAAATGTGCTCCACAGTCACCAGATCTCAATTCAGTAGAACACCTTTGGGCTGGGGTGGAATGAGAGATTCTAATAATGGATGTGCAGCCGACAAATCTGCAGTAATTGCATTATGCTATTATGCCAATATGGACCAAAATCTCTAAGTAATGTCACCTGCACCTTGTTGAATCTATGCCACAAAGAATTAAGGCAGTTCTGATGGCAAAAGGGGGTCCAACCTGGAACTAGCAAGGTGTACCTAATAAAATGGCCAGTGAGTGTATAGTCAGCAGCATATTGAGAACAGAGAAGGATGTCTGATGTTATGCCAGGAATTACATAAAGGGCATTACATAAATTACATACATATTTCATTGTCTTATTAGAGGCTTTCTCACATGTAGGCTTTTCTAGAATATTACCAAAACAATTACAATTTAGAGATCATGTGTGAACCGCCCCTTTGCAAAATAACAGTAAATCATTTCCTGCAATTGCAGGGGAGTGAAGTTGTAATATAGAAGCAGGTAAATGACCATTTTGATGCTATGCATGAAAAAAGATTACTGGTATGAGCACGTACAAGATTAGGACATGCTGATGTACAAAGTCTGCTTCAGGCCAATCATAAAGTTCTCATGGAGGTGACGTGATTTATTCTGAACTGTTTACAGTAATTCACACTTGAAAGTCAACAAAATGTTGTCAAATTGGACAGATAGAGAAACTAAAGCACCAGCCGGAAAACAGAATAGCATTTAAAACTCATTTCCAATGATTGACATCTCAGAATTCACTAGTATTTTGGCGCTGTGATGTTGAATGGTAATGTTTGCAAAACGTTGCTTGTGTGGCCAGCAGATATGGTGTATTTACCTGAAAAATTCAATCCAGGGTCTCTACATTTTTCAGTGCATTTCCTTTTCTATTTATTATGAGCATGTAGATTGCTACATTGTATGCTTTAGAAGTTTTTTTTATTTTTTATGAATATGACTTGAAAAATGTGTTTAAAATCATATACTGTCTAGTGAGATGTTGACCAATATTTCAAAATATAACCAAGTAACCAAAAAATACTGAGTGTACCTTCAGGCAGCTGGTTCTCTTTTTCTGTGGTGAAATGGCTTAAAGAGATAGTTCACTCAAAAATTTAAATTTGCTATTAATTTACTCACCCTCAGGCCTCTGAGATGTAGGTGACTTTTTCCTTCAGTAGAGCAGTAAAGAAGATTTTTAGATGAAACCATGGTCGTTGGTGATTCATAAAATGCAAGTCAGTGGCTACTGGTTTTTGAGAGGAAAAAAAAACATATCAGGGAACACGAAATTAATACCCGTGGCTCCTGACGATATATTGAGGTCTTATGAAGTGAAGCGATCAGTCTGTGTGAGAAACTGAACATTATTTACAACATTATCACCTGTAAACCATTGCCTCAGGCAAACTTTTTTTGCAAACTGGTTCTTTCGGGCTGTTTATTTCAATGAACTGGTTCAATTCAGTAGTTCATTTACATAATCATGCAATGACGTAACATATTCACAATTACATTATTAAAGCACCCAATAATGATGTGAAATGTGTATGTTTTATATGTCTAAAGCATACAACGTTAATAAACTAGTCTTCATCAGCTCACCGTTTTACATAAACAATGATAATCAATGCATTCATCATGCTTTTCCAGCCAGTTAGGTGCCAAGACCTATATATGTTCAAAAATGTAAAATATTGGTCTGCACTCTAAAAATAAATAAATAAATAAAATGTTAAAGCTGGAGATAAAAAGCAACATTTCAGCTATCTGCCTTCATCAGTGCATACATTCTTTGTTTCTCAATGATTATATTAAAAACAACAAACCAAGGGCATAAATTTCATCTAACAGTAGGGGGGGCAATAAACATAAAATCTCAAGATCAATTTTTAAAGGGGACACAAATAATACAGCCAAAATTGTAATTGTAAGCATATATAAGTGTACACAGCATGTGTACATAGCATTGAGACCGTGTTTAAATATGAGTTAGGTTAAAGGGGTCATATGATGCTGCTAAAAAGAACAGTATTTTGTGTATTTGGTGTAATGAAATGTGTTTATGCGGTTTAAGGTAAAAAAAACCCACATTATTTTCCACATACTGTACATTATTGTTTCTCCTCTATGCCCCGCCTTTCTGAAACGCGTCGATTTTTACAAAGCTCATCAGTCTGAAAAAGCGAGGTGTGCTCTGATTGGCCAGCTACCCATTGCGTTATGATTGGCCGAATACCTCATGCATGTGACGGAAATGTTACGCCCCTCACCATACTGTGATGATGCCCTGTCAGGCCGGAGCGATGATTCAAAAACATGAAAACCCATAATAAATGAGGCATTCGTTGCATCCAGTGGGGACATAATTACGGATTATAATGACTTATACTGTCTTTTCACGCGTTGCGTTGC